TGCCATATTTGCTTGTATGTTTTACTGGTTGCATGCCTGCAGCATTTCACAAGGATTTGCTGCACTTCCTCGGAGTACTCCGTTTCTACTGGAGTCAGCCAGTTACCATCCATGCATGGAGATGGAGTGTAGGGATGGCTGCGAGGTGCATCTGCCCATTCTGTTGTGTGAGCAGGGATCAGACTGGAGGGAGGCAGTATGGTGGACATACACTCATCTCCAGCAGGTAAGGATACCAGGTTTGCCTGGACCAACTTGGGGTTATGAGTATGACTTTGTGTTTGATCAGTGGAAACGGTGGAAATGCATATAGGAGGGGTGCTTCCCATTTTATGCTGAATGTGTCCCCTGAAGAGCAGGGACCTGTGCCTGCTATGAAGCAGTAATACAGGCACCTTGTATTTTCATGGGTAGCAAATAAGTCCACCACTGGGAATCCTCACCTCTGAAATAGATGGTTCAGTATCGTGGGGTTGATCTCCAACTTGTGATTCTGTGAGAAGTTTCTGCTGAGGCTCTCTGCAAGGACATTGTCTTTGCCTGGGAGGTAGGTTACGATCAGGCGTATGTTTTCCAGAATGCACCATTCCCACAGTCGTACTGCTTCCTAACAGAACTGGTAAAATCAGGTTCCCCCTTGTTGACTGATATAATACATTGTTTGTGACACTGTCAGTGTTTGTACTGTTTTGTTCTGGATCAGTGGGAAGAAATGTGCGCATGCATTGTGGACTGCCCTGAGTTCGAGGAAGTTGATATGTTTGCAGGCCTCATCCTTGTCCCATTGAACTTGGACAATGTGCTTGACCAAATGGGCTCCCCAGCCTGTTAGCGAGGTGCCTGTCATGGAGCAGGTGGTAAGAGACTGTGGTTTAGTGTCCACCACATATGTGGACTTTATTTTGCTTGGCATGGTTAGGCGTCTCTTTATATGGTGTATGTGTGGCCTGTACACCGTCCTTAGCCAGGCCTGCAGTAGCTTCATGTGAAGCTGGGCGTGTGGCACCACAAATGTGGCTGTGGCCATATATCCCAGGAGTTGTAGGCAATGACGGGCCATTATACAGGGGCTGGTCTGTGCCAGGGATACCAGGTCCTTGATTGTTGAGAACCTGCATTCTGGTAGGGATGCTATTGACTTTTTGAAATCCAAATACGCTCCTATGAATACTAGAGTCTGAGTCGGAGTCTGTACACACTTTTTAAATTTATCTGGAGGCCCAGAGTGTTGAGTAGTGTTCTGGTCATTGCCACTGCCTGCTCTGTGTCACAGGCAGTGGGGCCTTTTATCAGGCAATCACCGAGATATGGGAATATTGTGATGCCCCTTTTCCTTAGGTGGGCAGCCACCACTGCCAGTACTTTCAAGAAAACCTTTGGGGCTGTTGAGAGCCCAAAGGATAACACTTTGAATTGGAAGTGGAGATCCCTTATTGCGAACCATAAGATTCATCTGTGAGATGGATGTATTGAAATACAAAAGTATGCATCCTGAAGGTCGAGGGTGGACAGCCAAGTTCTCTTTTCCAAGGCAGGAATGATGGTGGCAAGGGTTATCATCTTGAAATGTTGATAGCGAACAAATGGAGTGAGCTTTCAGAGATCTAAAATCAGTCTCCACTGTCTTCTTGGTGGTGAGGAAATAATGAGAATAGAATCCCTTTCCTCTGTGTTCTGGAGGCACCTCCTCTATGGCCCCTAATTGTAAAAGACGTTGTGCCTCTTGTACAAGCACATGCTCATGAGAAGGGTCCCTGAAGAGGGACGGGGCGGGGAGGGTGTTGGGGATGGTAATGAATGGGATGCAGTAACCCGTTTTCATGGTTTCCAGCACCACCTGTCAGTAGGGATGGTGTGCCACGCTGGACAGAATGCAGTTAGTCTGCTGCCAATGTTGTACAGGATTTGGACTGCTGCTTTGGAAATATCGGTGCTATCTGACCCTCGACCAGACCTTCAAAATGTCTGGCACGATGTTGATGGCTGTTGTGCTGTCATCTGGTCAGAGGCCAGTCTGTGTCTGGTCTGCCTTGGGGTGACGCCTGTTGTTGTAATGTCTTGCTGGTTAAACGGACTTGGCTTGAACCTCTGTGTATACAACCTTAACTGTTTTTTTTTAATTCACAGGTATGTGAATGTCCAGTGTTTTTAGTGTGGCTCAGGAATCCTTCAATGTATGGAGGGAAGCGTTGGTGGATTCTGCAAAGAGCTTCAGACCTTCGAATGGGAGATCCTCAACTGTGGCTTGGACTTGCCTTGGAAAACTGGACAGCTGGAGCCACAAGGCATGACTCATTACAATTACTGAGGCTAGGGACCTTGAGGCCGTATCCACCAATCTAGAGCAGCCTGGAGAGCCGTTCTGGAGATCAGTGCTCCTTCACTGATGTGTGCCTTGAACTATTCATTTTTATTGTCAGGAAAGTACACAATAAATACTGAAAGCTGGTCTAATATGTGGTGTGTGTATTTTGCAAGGAGAGTGACATAATTTGTGATTGAGCTGAAGGCTGGCTGATGACTATGCCTTCCTGCCCATGAGATCCAGCCATTTGCAGTCCTTGTTGTATGGGACTGTCCACATGGCCTGCTGGCCTCTCTTATTGACTGCCTCCACCACTAATGAGTTTGGGATGGGTTGTGAAAATAAGAAGTAGGAACCTTTTGGGGTAACATAATACTTGCAGTCCGATCTTTTGCAAGTTGGGGGAATTGTTGCTGGTGTCTGCCATTTGGTTTTGGCAGGATCCATAGTGCTTTATTCATCAGGATCGCTAGCTTGGCATAAGGAGAGGCATGCAAGATGTTCGTCAACTTATGCTGGGTCTCAGGTAAAGCTGAAAGGGATATTTTTAGTGTGTCTGTCACACATTTAAAAACTTCCTGAAATGATTTGAAATCATCCCCTACGTTTGGTGGTGGGGGCACAATTATATCACCCAGAGGCGAGGATGAAAGATGTGTAGGCGGGGGCGAATCTATTGTTCGCTCTGCTCCTGTGATGTCCACCTCCTCTTCCTCTTGTGAGTAGCATGATGGATCAGGCGACTGGCCGGGGGGACTTAAGCATTAGGAGCCTGTGGTAACTGCAGCGCTTGTTGCACTCTGTGTGCCACCCATGGATCCCAGTATGGCCAGTTAGTTGATATGGGTGGCGGTAGCCGTTGTGATTGTTGCCACTGTTGCACCTGCTGTGTTGGCTTGATCGACAAGCTTCTGGGTGTGTCTGAATCACTTCCTCATCATCACTCAGTAAAGGTGGTGCCGCAGCAGGTGTTGTAGAGAAACTGAACCTTGAGGTACTGGGGGT